CCTTACATTCGGAATGTTTGAGAATTTCTCTCGTCTGGCTGGTTGTAAGTTTGGTTTTTGGGTGTTTGCCTCGTCTGTGATTCAAGATTTTGGCTGGATCCGGATGTGGATTCCCAAATTCTGGAAGGATTGCTGGTTTGGGTTTAGCTTATTTCATTTGTCTATTGATTCTCAGGTGGTTATTTTCTTAATCTGGATGGTTTTTGGCGATATCTGTTATGCGTTTTGGGACTTTTCTTGGATGTATGGTTTAAACGAGGCCTGTGGCTCATATCTTGATCTACTGCAGTTTTTTTATAATTTGGGGGAGGGGTTAAAGCTGTTATACTATCCTATATGGTGGCAACAAGCTAATTGTTGGCATATTATTACCATGTTTAACATCTATGGGATTTCTCTTTGTTTGGTTACTGTGGCCTGCTCGTCTGAGCAGTTTGTTTCTTTTTCCTAGATGTTGATTTTTGTTCCAGCTAATTATGCTTTTTCTGGGAGGTTTTTTGGTCCTGTCAAGTCTTCTTATATTCCTAGTTTCCCTGTTTTCCAACCTACGTATTATAGGCAGAACTGCTTTGGTGACCGGCATGGGCTTGTGAATCTTTTAGTTTGGTTTACCTATTACAGGTGCCGGGTCTGGTTTAATTTTGCTGGTTATCTGAATGGTGGGTGTAATATTTTTGGTTTTGGGGATGATGTCCATACGAAGCACTGGAATAATTTTTCTCCCTGCTCTTTACTTTATAACACTCATGCTGGTAAGAGTGATTTGGTCTGGATTAATGATTTTTGTTATGCTTTCTCTCTCAACTGGTATGGCTGGCTTAGGAGGAAGGTTTTCGGTGCTATGAATTTTATTAGTAAGGTGGTCTCTCATGTTTCTGGTATGGCAGTTTGGATCTTTAGTGTGATGTTCTGATTTCTGTAGGGCATGTTGAGGTTTTCTTATGCTTTTATTAAGTTTTGCTCTAACAGGGATATTACTGGGTATTTAGCTTTTGTTAACTACTATATTTCTCACACCTTTTTTTGGAGAATTCCTTGCAGGTATCTTAAGATTTATCTAGTTATGAGCTTCAATGACCGCAAGGTATTCTTGTTTTGTTTTTTGCAATACTTTTTCTATTATCGTCATAATTTTTGCAGGAGGACACTGTTGAATGAGATTATTCTGCTCTTCCTTTTTTGGGTGCTGTCTACTCACAACCCGAGTTTTTATTTAGGTTCTTTTTGTACTCGTAAAAAAGGATCCACCAGCTCATAGGTTTTTTGGTTTATTTTTTTACTTGTATCTCTTTGGAGCAGTAGCGAGCTGGAGGATCTTTCTAAGGACTGTGTAACCGATTTTTTGATATTAACGCGTAGGCCCCACAGAGGGTTTTAACCAAAAATAAATAAAAAAATAAATAAAAAGATTGTGTTATAATTTTTTCTTATAAACATTTTAATTAATAATGAATTCAGTATTCGACAATCACTTAAAACTCTGCACCATCTTATGCTGCAAAAATATCTTATTCAAATTCAATATTAATTTTTTTTTTTTTTAGTTAAAACCCGCTCGAGGGGCCTACGCGTTTAAATTCAATATTAAAAATTCAATATATGGTTTCATTCAGAATTCAATAAGAAAAAAAAAAGAATAAAATTTCTTGACTATGCATGTTTTAAAAGGATGAGTTTTATAATCATTAAATTTTTTTATGTTGATGTATTCTAAACTTTAATTGATTAAATATATATTTCATACATACATATAAAAAGGAATTTTACAAATATATAATTAATGGCTCCTAACATACATTTTATCAAAATCTTCTGATAAATTTTTTTGCCACTAATAAAAAAACATTGTGATTTATTTCTGTTAAATAAAAAATTTTAGATTCTTGTAAACTTTTATTTGAATTTTCTACTTCTAGTGAAATATATAACAAAAAATAGTGAAATATTTAGAAATACTTGTAACAATTTCTAGCAAGCTTCATGTATGAGTAATAGTGGGAGAATAATTTAGGATTCGTTTCGGACAATTTTTTGGCACTATATTTTTGGTACTTTCAAGAAATTTTTGTGCTAGAAAGTTACTTTTGAAAGAAATAAGAAAATTATCCCAAACAAAGCCTTAAGCTTCATTTGTCACAGCCTTCTTATTGCTTACTACATTAATTTTATAGTACAAAAAATTTGTTAAAACAAAGAAAAAGCGGTGGCCAAAAACTGTACCAAACAAAGCCTTAGTTAGAAAAAAATGCTTCCCATTCCCTATTTGGTACATAGATTTGTATTTTAAGCAGTGGTCAATATTCAATAATCATTTGAGCTTATTTTGATTTTTTTAATTTCCATTAAAATAGAGCTGGTATCAAGAAGTATCAAAGCTTAAAGAAAAGTTTGAGCTCCTAAAGCTATGGCACAGGTAAAATTGTGATCAGTTTTGTTGATTATTTCATTCAACTCATAATTTGTTATCAATTGTGAAATTCAAATGAAAATTACGCCAAAGGATTTTGCTTGGAAAGCATTTTGGACCTATGAATATGAAGAACTTTGATCAATTGGAGCACCAAGTTGAATCTTCATTATCTAAGGCAAGACAAAAGTTTTATAATTTATTACATTACTAATTCTAGCTATGAGCAAACGTTATAGCCAATTTTCTTTTCTTTTGTAAGATGGCATGCTTTGATTTTTTTTGTACTTTACTCATATCTAGGTGTTTTAATATATTAATAGTTTTCAGAATTTGATCGGCTTAAGATGGTTTAATTTCCGCTTTATTTTAGCTACTTGAAGTTTGTTTGAATTTGGTGTTTATTTGCTAATTTGTTCTTGACCAATGTCTTAATCATAATAAAGTTGTGTGAGAGGACAACATTTGTAGTTCTATGTGCAAACTATGTGAGTACATATATGTATGTACATGTTATGCATTGAGTGCGCAACTATGAGCTTCGATGATCTAGAAGTTGAGTTATGGCATTAGTCTAGAGGAGTTGTTTAAAATTTTCAATTATGTAGGTCAAACTCAGTGTCTAATGGTTTTCATTTGAGTAGAACTAAAATTGAATACATGGAGAGTAATTTTAGTAGTGATAGATCTTGTGGTGGGATTGTGATAATGGGTGATCAAGTCATTAGAATGATTGCATGATTTAGTTGGGTCTATTGTTTAAAACTATGGTGAAAAAGATGGGGAAATTATTAGTAGAATTCAAGTTTGATGGTTGAAGTGGAGGAATGCATCGGGCCTATTAAGCGATATAAAACTATTAATATATTATCGATTGTTCTTATCTCTCTATCACTCTCTCTCTTCTTCACGCTTCAATGGCGGAAGCACTACCTGTTTCTCTCACCACATTAATACATCAACAGCCTCTTTTCATAGGATTTGTATTTTATGCTGTATAATTTTCTAAAAGAAAATTTGATCTTTGTAATCTAAGCTGTAGCTCAGATCCATATTCTTCGCTACTTTCTTATCTATTTCGCATCATCCAATTTGTCCAGTCGAGTTTTTCCTCCTCTTATAAAAACGATCAGTTAAATTTTTTTTTTATTTCGAGCTGATTGAATCGAAAAATCAGTAGGCCTCGAGCCAAAAAGACCTTTTGATTTATCATCTCTAAACAGGCAACCTCCTGTTTTCCTCTCTCTCTCTCTCTCTCTCTCTCTCTCTCTCTCTTCGAGCTGATTGAATCGAAAAATCAGTAGGCCTCGAGCCAAAAAGACCTTTTGATTTATCATCTCTAAACAGGCAACCTCCTGTTTTCCTCTCTCTCTCTATATATATATATATTGTTAGGAAAGTTGCTATTTGCATGTTTTACATTATTGCAAC